TGGTCATTACCAAGAACAACAGAAGAAATAAAAATGTTAGGGCTCTAGCACAGCACCATCTACTCAGTAGGACTGAAGTGACCCACAGTTATGACCAGGATGGACAAGAAGTACAGCATGAAGACTGAATGTAATGGAGCATGCTTTATTTTTTTCCAGCAGTCTTTAGTTGAACAGGAAAGTTTGTCAGTGTGTTTGTGTCTTCAAATCTTGTGATTACAAACGCCATAGCATTTGATTACATCATTAATTAGTTTCCTAACTATGCTAATTACACAACTTTCTCAACATGTACTTCATAACAACCAGTTTGAATTACAGGACAGAGTAGTATTTTGGATGGAAGACATCTTTAAATCGATAATTTGTATCTTGAAATGACAAATTGGCAAAATGTAAGATTTTGTGCAAGCATGATTCTACTTTACTGCAAAAATAAAAATAAAAACTTCATTAATGAGTTTTGTTGCTCCTCAAGACTCTCCCTTCTGGAAACAGCCACTCTGTGATCTTTGACCTGTGGCATGGTGGCGTCATCAGATGGTCAGGATGACCTTCCCAGAAGCCCCGGAGGTCTCAATAATGTCTTTGTGGGCCTGAGCGGCCTTTTCCATCGGATACTTCGGACCAACGACTGGACGCAGCCAACCAGCCTCCATCCCTGCAAAGAGCTGTGCTGCACATTGCTTCATCTCCTCCTGAGACGCGAACAGGAAGGAAAAATTACAAAATGGAAAATTTTTATCAGGATTTATCTGTAAATTGGATGCATGTGAATAACTGTTGACTGTGCAGGTGTTGCATGAAGTCCAATTTGTGTACAGGTCACTTTTTCATTTTGGCGGACAAATACAGCAACTTTCATTTATTTCAGTTGCACACAGTTGCATATATAACTGTCACTGTTTCTTACCGGTGTAGCGTCGAAAACGATTACTCCCAGGACGAGGGCCTCTTTCAGCATGATTTCCACGGGGTTGATCTCGATGGGACCTCTGGAGCCAATGAGCTACAGAACGAGGGTCGAGCAGAAACATGACAGATGTCGTCAAAAGGTATTTGTTTATAAATGAAGGCAAGTCTTTTCTGATGTAAACCTGCTGCGCCGCCTGGACTTTGTATCTTTGCATGACGCAAATCGTTACTGATATGCACAACGGTTCTGCTATTGTTGTGCCACTTTAAGCACACATGCTCTTATCTGAAATCAGAGATAAGACTGTAGTCCTACTGACCACAATACGTCCTCCGTGGGCCACCAACTGCAGGTCTTTACTGAGGTTGGAGTCTGCCAGCATCTCCACAATCACATCCACACCTTTGCCATCTGTGGCTGCCTGGAACACACAAACACACATGTCTGTAAAAATGGCTGTTTCAAAGGCCTTAACCCGGTGATCCTCCTGCTCTGTGTGTGCGGTTACCATGATTTTATCAGTGTATCCTTTTTCTCTGTGATTGAAAGCCAGATGAGCTCCATTGTTGACAATCAGCTTCATCCCTTCTGGAGTCCCTGCTGTTCCCAGAACTTTGAGGCCCATAGAGCGAGCAAGCTGACAGGTTGCCATACCCGTCTATGAGATCAAGAAAATATTAGATTTTAGAGCATAATTTCATGTCTGCTGAGTATAAAGTCATGATTAACGACACAGACTGTAAACATGGGATTTATAAAAATACTCTATATGAAAACAGTAAGATGGGTGATATAAAGTAATGTGAGGATAAAGTTATGTATCTATCAATGGCTGTTTCCTTTGAGATTACTATTTAATTAAGACAAGGCTTGACCTCAAGGCTGTGTTCACTAGTACACAAATATCAATTCTATTTTTTATTCTTTTCTAGGTGCTTTGGTCTTTTGTTCACATGTAAACACAAAAGGAAAACTTCCAGGGGGGCGATATCTGGAAACCGCAGTAAACATTGTGTTTTGGGATTGTGACGTTGGACTATGTGTCATTATATTCGTTGTTTACATGAGAAGATGTTGTGCAACAGATACGGCTTTGATAACACTGCACTAACGTTGCTACTATGACTTTTTATGATAGCGTTTTCAGTTCTGTTTTTTAAAGTCCTTCATTTAGAACATGATGTTTGTTGGAGTATTGTTTGTATTGACTTAACTCTCTTTTCATTCATTCAAGTGCAAAACACTTCGTGTAATATTTTATTTGAGCTTCAGTCAGGTTTTTTCTTTATGTTTGCTTGTTGCAAATCTCCACTCTACAGTAAAATTTACCTCATCTAAAAAAACAAAAAGATAAATAATGAANTAGATTTCTGAAGCACGTGATATTAAACTGGTTAACATTTTCATTCCCATTTAGTAAAATTATTAATACTGAAGGTCGCAGCAAAATCTGCAGGAGAGTTGCTATTTAAATGTCAGTTATGTTCCTAACCCTTCATGGGGAAAGTGACCATATTTGGTAACTTCCTTGGGCGTTCCATATGTCCACCCTGTGCCTCTCCTTGAGGTTGAAGAACCATGTGCACTTTGATTTAGTTTTTATATTCGTGCCAATATCACTACCTTATGAAAAATGTCACTAAACAAATGTTCCAGGCACTTTATAAACACTTTGCTACTGGTTTGCATTGAACTCCACTTTGATTTATTTTTTGAGATTAGTGCCAAAACCACTACCCCAAGAAACATGTTAGTAAATGAACCTGCCAAGCACAGACACTTTGTCACTGGTTGTGTAGGTATCATTACCTCAAGCTAGAAAGCTTCTAAATAAATGTTTTTTGCACTTTGTAACATTTTCTTTTATTTATTATAAATTCCCTTTTTGTTAGCCGTAGATGGGCAAGCTACCAGATATGGTAACTTTATCAATCTTGATTTGCAACATTTTTTTTTAAAGTCACAAAAGTAAAAATATCTTGAAATATTCTTCAATAACATCCTAGGGTTGAAATTTTCATTTTTCAAGTATGTCAAGGCGTGCCCTATAAAGGGTTAAGGCAGGGCAAGTGAGTGTTTGAAATCTAAACCCAGGGTAGTAAGTAAATCAGTAGTGTGACCTTTGTTCATGCTTTTTTAGATTAAAACAATCAAATATAGTTAAAATTCAGAAGTAAAACCATTATCATGAATATTAAAAACACCAATCAATAAAATATGGTCATTACCAAGAACAACAGAAGAAATAAAAATGTTAGGGCTCTAGCACAGCACCATCTACTCAGTAGGACTGAAGTGACCCACAGTTATGACCAGGATGGACAAGAAGTACAGCATGAAGACTGAATGTAATGGAGCATGCTTTATTTTTTTCCAGCAGTCTTTAGTTGAACAGGAAAGTTTGTCAGTGTGTTTGTGTCTTCAAATCTTGTGATTACAAA